CGGATCTAGTCCTCCAGCTGCCCACGGGGAGGCCTTTTGGGCCCCAGAACTGGACTGTGCTTTGTTTAATTTTTATGCAGAGCCTTTTGCCTCTGACCAGACCAGGCAGGGAGGGCCCACTCCCAGGGCCACCAGGGACAGGACCTGGAAGAAAAGGCTGAGGACAGGGGTGTGGGCTGCCTTTGTGGAGTGGTGGTCCTGGTTCATAGCTAAGGGGTTGGGAGTGGGAGAGGGTGGAGGGCTGCATCAGGCCTGATGATTGTGGGAGGGGGCTGTGGGTGGACTGGTGCTTTGGGGATTGACTTCTGAAGACGGAGCTAAGAGGCTGGTGGGTTGAGAGCCTAGAGCACCCCGTGGGTGGCGGGCTGGCCTCAAGGCCTGGAGCAGTGCTTCTCACCTGGGGGGAGGGTGGGGTGATTTTGCCTCCAGGAGATGCTTGGCAGTGTCTGGAGAGTTTGATTGTCACAACTGGTGAGTGGGGAGCTGCCACTGGCATTGGGTCGGTAGAGGTCAGGGATGCTGCCAAATGTCCTACAAGCACAGGAGGGCCCCCACAACCCTGGCCCCTCCTCACCCCTCAGTCCTCTCTGTACTGCCCTTCCCAGACCACCACCCATGCCATGGCTCCCCTTGTTCACCCATTTCAATCTCCAGTCTAGAGCTGAGCCAAGAGCTACTACTGTGAATTAATATTGAATGGCTATAAAGAAATACACTGTGCTAACAACTCCTCCTCCTCTCCCTCTTCCATCCCCCCCCTCCCCTTCCACGAGAGGTGCTGAGATGCTGCACCAACCGCTGGGCCTGGCAGCTGTGAGGGTGTGTGCTCTGACTGTGCTTTTACAGAGAGCCACCTGGGCACGAGGAGGTCAGGAACGCGTCCAAGGCAAGGCCACACAGCAGGGTTGACTCCAGGCCCTCACACCTCTCTGCCCGACCAGGTGCAGCTAGTTGTCTTAGGGTGATGGGTTAGGGGATGTTTTAATTTCTCACATTCTATAGTATCCCGAAGTTCTATACTGACCGTGTGTCGCTTGAAAAAAGAGTTTTAATAACCCTGTTTTGCAGTCTCCCCTTCAGCTGAGGTATGCTGCCACCTGGTGCAGCAACGTCCCTAAATGTCCCGCAGTCTTCCTCCTAAGCCCCGAGACACCTGCACTGCACACGAATCGTCCATGCTTTGTTATAATCACATAGACTTTTTAATCTAGGCAAGGTTAAATTCACATCCAAGTCGATGTTTTTGAAGCAAACATTCTAACAACTTTATTGAGGTATAATTTACATGCTATGAAATTCACCTTGTTTTCAGTGTACAACTTAATGATTTTAAAGAAATTTAGAGTTGTGCGACCATCACCACAATCCAGTGTGAGAATCTTTTCATCATCCCTAAAAGATCCCTTGTACCCATTGGCAGTCAATCCCTGTTCCCACCCCAGCCCAGGCAACCACTAATCTGTCTTCTGTCTACAAAGTTTGGCTTATTCTGGACATCACATATAAATGCAGTCATATAATATGTAGGTATAATATGCAATGTATAATATGCAATCATATAATATGTAGTTTTTATGCATTTGGCTTCTTTCACTTAGCATAATGTCCTCGAGGTTCATTTGTATTACAGCATGTGTCTGTACTTCATTCCTTTTTATGGCTAAGTAATATTCCATTGTCTGGAATATTTAGTAGCACATTTTATTTATCCACTCATCAGTTGGTGGACATTGGGTTGTTTCTACTTTTGGCTATTGCTAATAAAACTGCTATGAACATTCACGTACAAGTCTTTTTGTGGACCTGTGTTTTCATTTCTCTCCCGAGAAATGAGGAGAGGAATTGCTTGGTTGTATTGCCAGTTTACGTTTAACCTTTTAAGAAACTGCTAAACTGTGTTCCAAAGTGGCTGGACCAATTTATGTTCCCACTAGCAATGTATGAAATTTCCAGTTTTTCCTCATCCTTGCCAACAATTCTTTATTATAGCCATCTAGTGGGTGTAAAGTGGTATTTCACTGAAGTTTTAATTTATAGTTTTCTAATGACTAACAATATTGAGAATCTTTTCATGTGCTTATTAGTCAATCTAATACCTTCTTTGGTGAAAATGTCTATTCAAATATTTTCTCCATTTTCTAACTGGGTTGTTTGTTTTCTTATTATTAGATTGTAAGAGTCCTTTATATATTCTGGGTACAAGTCCTTTATCGTATATATGGTTTGAAAATATTTCTTCCCAGTTTGTGGCTCATCTTTTCACAATGGTATCTTTGGAAGCACAAAAATTTGTAATTTTGATGGTCTAATCTATCAATATTTCTGCTTATGGTAGGTGATTTTGGTATCTTATTTAAAACCTGTGCCTAACCCCAAATCATGAAGATTTTTCTCCTATTTTTTTTCTAGAAGTTTTAGCTCTTATATTTAAGTTTATGATCCATTTTTAGTTAATTTTGATGTATGCTGTGAAGTAAGCATCCAAATTCATCCTTTTGCCTATGGATGTCTGCTTGTTCCAGCACCGTTTGTTGAAAAGACTACCCTTTGCCCAGTGACTTGCAAGGCATCTCTGTCAAAAATCAATTGGTCATAAATGTAAGTGCAGAAGGGCTCTCAATTCTGTTCCATTGCTCTGTATCTACCCTAATGCCAGTAACACACCGTCTTTTTTAATGTTATATTTTTTAGATGTAATTAACATATAATATTATATTAGTTTCAGGTGTACAACATAATGATTCAATACTTGTATATATGGTGAAATGATCACCACAATAAGACTAGTTAACATCCATCACCACACAGTTACAAATTCTTTTTCTTGTGACAAGAACTTTTAAGATCTGATCTCTTAGCAACTTTCAAATATGCAATACAGTATTGTTAACTATAGTCACCATGCTATACATTACATCCCCATGACTTATTTATCTCATCACTGGAAGTTTATACCTTTTGACCCCCTTCACCCATTCCTGCCATATATATCTCTCTCTCTCTCATTTTCTGTATCCATTCACCTGTTGATGGACACTTAGGCTGTTTCCATATCTTGGCTATTGTAAATAATGCTGCAATGAACAGGGGGGTGTAGATATCTTTTTGAGTTAGTGTTTTTGTTTCCTTCAGATAAATACTCAGAAGTGGAATTGCCGGATCATATAGTAGATCTATTTTTAATTGTTTGAGGAACCTCCATACTGTTTTCCATAGCGGCTGCACCAATTTACATTCCCATCGACAGTGCCCAAGGGCTCCCTTTTCTCCACATCCTCGCAAACACTTGTTATCTCTTGTCTTCTTGATAATAGCCATTATAAAGGTATGAGGTGATATCTCATTGGGGTTTTGCATTTCCTTTCCCAAAAGTGATGTTGAGCACCTTTTCATGCATGTGTTGGCCATCAGTACGTCTTCTTTGGAAAAATGTCTATTCGGATCCTCTGCCCATTTTAAAATTGGATTGTTTGTTTTTCTATTGAGTTATACGAGTTCTTTATATATTTTGGATGTTAACCCATTATCACATATATGATTTGCAAATATTTTCTCCCATGCCGTAGGTTGCCTTTTCATTTTGTCAATGGTTTTCTTTGCTGTGCAGAAGCTTTTTAGTTTGATGTAGTCCCATTTGTTTATTTATTTATTTGTTTGGTGAGGAATATTAGCTCTGAGCTAACATCTGTTGCCAATCCTCCTCTTTTTTCTGAGGAAGATTGGCCCTGGGCTAACATCTGTGCCCATCTTCCTCTACTTTATATGTGGGACACTGCCACAGCATGGGTTGATAGGCCACGCGTAGGTCCGTGCCTGTGATCCAAACCTGCGAACCCCGGGCCGCTGAAGTGGAGCACACAAACCTAACACTACACCACGAGGCCGGCCCTGCCATTTGTTTATTTTTGCTTTTGTTGCCTTTGCTTTTGGTGTCAAATCCAAAAAATCATCACCAAGATCCTATGTCAAGGAGCTTACTGCCTATGTTTTCTTCTATGAGTTTTATAGTTTCAGGTTTTATTTTCAAGTCTTTAACCCATTTTGAGTTGATTTCTACATATGTTGTAAGATAGTGGTCCAGTTTCATTCTTTTGAATGTCGATATGCAGTTTTACCAGCACCATTTTTTGAAGAGATTATCCTTTCCCCTGGTACACTCTTGGCTCCTTTGTTGTAAATTAGTTGATCAGCACACTGTGTTGATTACTGTAGCTTTGCAATAAGTTTTGAAAGTGGGAAGTGTGAGTCCTCCAACTTTGTTCTTCTTTTTCAAGATTGTTTTGGCTATTTTATATTCTTTGTATTTCTATATAGATTTTAGGATCAGCTTATCAGTTTCTGTAATAACAACAACAACAATAATAATAATAATGCCTGCTGGGATTTTGATAGAGATTGCATTGAATATGTGGATCACTTTGGAGAGTATTTCCATCTTAACAGTAGAGTCTTAGTATCCATGAACATGGAATTTATATAGATCTTTAATTTCTCTCAGCAATGTATTGTAGTTTTCATGGTACAAATCTTGTACTTCTTTTGTTAAATTTAGTCCCAAATATTTTATCTTATTGATGCTATTGTGAATGGAATTGTTTTCTTAATTTCGTTTTTGGATTGTTCATTGCTAGTATATAGAAATATAGTTGATTTTTATATATTGATCTTGAGTCCTGAAACCTTGCTGAACTAGTTTATTAGTTCTAGTAGTTTTTCTAATGAATTCTTTAGAGTTTTCTACATACAGGATCATGTCATCTACAAATAAAGGTGTTTTTACTTCTCCCTTTCCAATCCAGATCTCTTTGTTTCCCTTTCTTGATTATACTGGCTCTAGTACAATGTTGAACAGTGGTGGTGAGAACAGACATCCTTGCTGGGTTCCTGGTCTTAGGGGAAAGCATTAAATATTATGCTTTCCCCTAAGATCTCTCGTGATGATTATTATCACGATGATAATGATGATTATCTCTCATCATTAAATATTATGTTAGCAGTAGGTTTTTCATTGATGCCTTTTATTGAGTTGAGGAATTTTCCTTCTATGCCTAGTTTGTTGAGAGTTTTTATCATTAAAGAGTGTTGGATTTGGTCAATGCTTTTCTGTCTATTAAAATGATCATGTGGGCTTTTCAAAACAAACAAATTTAAAGATTTAGTTAGGTATCGTTTTTTACTTTCCTAATGATTACAAAACCATTGAATTTCAAAGATATAAGAAACCTTAAAATTCACTAAGCCCTGTGTTTTTACAACTGTCACTCATAATTTTTGCCATGGTCACTTTTCATGTGTACTATTTACTTAGTAATGTCTTTATAAATCAACTCACATTTTATAAATATATACTTGTCTATATATTTAAAAAGAAAACTTCATATTATTACCACAAATGGAAGCTAGTCTTATTTGCCTTAATTATAAAGTAATTATAATAGTAAAGACACTAAAAAGAAAAGACATTACAGCATAAAAATAAAATGGGTGTCTGGGTTAAGATGGTGGATTGAAAACAAATGTAATAATAGCCCCTACCCAAAGCTCTCTCAGAGTGCAGTAAAGGGATGCTTTACTGAAGCACAGACTCACAGGGAGGGGACCAGAGAGCCCAGTCCCTGCTGTGGGAGAGACCGCCAATGGGTAAGTGGTGCCTAACTCGGCTGCCTGGGGTACAGGGGTCTCTGGATTCTCTGGCCAGAGCTGGAGACACCACGGGCCCCAAAGGCTTGGGAACTGCCATCCTGGGACAGGGACTGGGCATGGAGGGCACTTGGAGAGGGCTGTGGAGAAGCAGTTACACCCTCAGCTAGCCCCCAACACCCCGCATCACTAGATGGTTAACCGCTGGTCCCCACCACTGTGGATGTGTGCTCTCTGGAGAGCATAGAACAAAAGGGTTTTGGATGGGGGGATCACCAGCCCCTGAGGAGGGACTGAGAGTCAAATCCAGATCTAGGCGATGAAGGCTGAGACCCTCTTCAGCTGCTCAGCTCCAGGCCTTTACCCTCCAGCCAGGAGACTGGAAAAGGTCTGAGTCTGAGCAGCTGGAAGGAAAGGCCTCGAGAAGCTGATTCTGCCCCTGGGGTAAAGCAAGGGATTAGAAAGGATGATACTTGCTCAGGTGCAAAATGTAAATAATGAACATTGATTTAAGCCAAAGTTCTCATGGAACTATTTTGGGGAGCTGAGAGGTGGCGGAGGGGAGCCTGTTTGTGGGAGCTGAGTCCTGACCGACAGATGGTCACTGAAGAGAAGAACTGAAAGAGCACCATTCCCAGATGGCTTAGCTGATGTAGACATGCTGGAAGCAACAGCCAAACCAGACAGCAATCGCTGCTCTGGGAAGGGGCCTTGGGGAAAAGGGGAGGGTTGTGCAGAGAGCTGTGGTATTTTGTGTAAGCCTTTGAGGGCTACTTGACTCTTTAAACTACATGCATGCATTACTTGTACAGAGTAATGCACCACATACAAACAATGAAACCCAAGAGCTGAGTCTGAGATTCACAAACACACATCATGGAAAATCACTCTCTCAGCGAGAAGGATGCAACTGTCACCATTAGCCAGTGAACAAGGGGCATTTAGCAGAATGTTGCCTGAGATGGTCTACAAGGAGACCTGCTGAGAGAAGTCTGGGTTTTATTTTGAAGTTGACCAGCAGGGAGAACCCCGCCTCACATGTGTAACGGAACACAGGGTGAAACACATCTGCCTTTCTGCTGAGAGTGAGTCCAGAAAAGCAAGTCCCTCAGCAAAATGAATGTGCTGAGTATTCTGTTTGCCCCTCCAGACCCTTCTCCGCCTGCTCTGTGCCCTGGGAGGTGACCTCTGGACCCCATCACTAGGAGCCCAGCCTCGGCTTCTGGCTGGGTGCAACCAGTGGGAGGCACGAGCAGGAGACATGTCAGAAACTAGAGGGGCTAGGAGCCTCGCAGGACTCCCCAAGTTGGTGGGGGCCGTGGCCCCTCAGCCTGCACCTCATCCACAGCAGCAGCCACCCCCCGCCCCCTGCAGTGCTAACAGCTCCCCACTGTGACCTCTCGGTCCAGTCCAAACTGCACCACCTTCATGAGTAGTCCCCTCCTGGAACTATCCCAGCCCCCTGGAGCAGGTGCCTAGTGTTTCCTGCCAGCACCTGATTGACAGGAGGGGAGAGCCTTCAGCTTGATGGTGTTTTAGTTCAAGAAGCCCTGTAGGGTGAGCTCTGGAATCTGTGCTTCCACATGTGTCCAGTTCTTTGGTAATATTTGCAAAGTGATGGAGAGTCCCTTCCAAGGAGATTTCAAAGGCAGTAAAATTCAAAACATCAGTTTGGAGAGTCATAGCCAGACATTTAAGGAAACTAGAAGAATTTAGGACCAGTCCAGCTTACAGGTATAACAAAACCTTAAAGACAATTAATAGGACTAGAATTTAATATCTACAAATATCTAAGCAAATTTCTGTCTTCACAATAACCCTCATTTTTATTAAATCTAATCATAGTAAAACTAACTTGTTAGTTATATAAATGCAGCAAAAATAGTGATTGACATACAAGCTCTTTTTTAAGATTGCTTTGCTGGAAACTTGTAAGCAAGGTACTAGGCTGATTTTTCAAGCAGTTCCTTAAAGCTGTTTGGTCATAACTGAGTCTATGTACATCTTTCTTGAATATAAAATTCTAGTCAAAGCCTTGGTAATGTAGCCAATATTTCTAATTGTGTCCTATTACAGGAGAACAGACCTTTGCTGAACCTATGCAAATACATATGTTGTCATGAAAAGAATACTTAAGAGTTCCTGAATTCTGAAGGGCTCAGGTAGAGAGAAAGAGATAAATGTTTCAACCCTTGTTGAAAAGATACACTTTGCCAAATGGCTGTAAGTTATAGATAGCTTAAAGGAGATGAGAAAAAGGGGTCCTTTACATGTGGAAAACAAAACATCAAAGCAATCAGTCCTCAACTTGACTTCCAGAAATTCCCATCCAGTTCAGTGTTATGATCTTAAAGTTACCAAAACCTGTATTCCAGAGTATTTGTCAAAGCCTTTTTCATGAATCTCTTTGAAAAAGAAACATATTTGTAAAAGCATCAGAGTAAAACAATAACCGTCTGGAACTGACAAAAGACTTTTTAAAAAGGCAATGGGTAAGTGCAACTGACAAGGAGATTTGGGTACTTTTGTGACATACGTTTTAGATAGTAACTACAATTACAGGTAATAACATTATATCAGACTTTTAGGAATTTTATACAATCTCTGGAACACTTTTTAGTAACAGTCACCCATGCAATACAACCTAAGAAGGTTTATTATTACTTATTTGGCCATGCTTCTTATTGGTAATTTGACATACCAAATAAGCCTAATTAGTGTAATATCTCTCTTTTCATAAGGAAAGGGAATAAATCTTTTGAGATGTCCCAGATGCCCTCTGGAAAGTCCCCAACTTACATTCATGTTGAAAAGACTTCATTTAGAATTTGAATATTTTGGGAAGCTTGTCAAAAATATCAAAAGTTTTGGACACTTGACCAAATAGGATCACAGATCATTATGAAATGGCACTTAAGCATCTGTTTGACTGAAGTAACAATAACAAGTTTCAAAAGCAAAAAGGAAAGGTTACATACTTGTAAGCAAAACTTAACTCCTTTAATACTAAGAAGACTCAGTTCTCTTAAGTACTTAAAGACCTCATAGAAACAACACAGGAAAGTATTTTGACAAGACACAAAATCTCTTTTCTAGGCATATTGCTTAAAGATAAAACACTTTCACAATCTGTTTCACCAGCAGACCAATAGACCAAGAAAACCTTGTCCTTTTAACAGAAAAAAACCCATGTTTTAAGTTTGCATGAGCTTATTTTGATATTAAAATTTACTCAGTCCAATCTTAGCCAGTCCTGACTGCTCATAGAATTCTTATCCCAAGATTCCTTTCCATAAACCTTCTACAACTTTTTACATTCAGATTTTGTCTTATGTTTTTCTTTTTCCCATTACAAAATAACTAGCTTCTCTTTAGGACAAAATTACTTTCTTTTCCTTCAGCAAAGTGTATTTCCATTCCTCCTACCTTCTTTTACCAAAACACGCATCCTGCTTTCCTTGCATACAGAGATGTTTCCCTTTTTGTTTCTAGTAGGTTTAGTTACATATATTAGAATTCTTAACCCTTGGAATCCCCAATTCCTAGTGAAAACTAAGAAGTAAGCAATTGTTGACTGGCATATTTATAAATACGTTTCATAATTTCGAGGAGTATATTCCCTTTTGAATAGTGCAATCTTTCAATGTGACACAAGACATGGTTACCAACAGACCCAAATTTATGTTTAGTTTCTTTGCATTGGAAGCCCAAAGTAGATAAACCTGTGTTCAGTAATCAATGTTTTAGTATTTTATCTTGTTTGGAAAATAATTTAGGTATTCGATGACTATCCCTTATCTAGTTTAACTCAGTATAAACTTTGATCATATTTACATTTATTTTAATTACTTGCTTTTAACAATCATGCTTGGATTAGACATTAAATAGCCGCCATCATCTTACTTTCTTGCTGACAAATTTTTAACAGAGACAGCAGGGGCCTACTTGGCTAGTTAACCCAGGCAAAGGAAAAAGTTGCACATTTCCATTACACCCAATACTAACAACTCTGAAGACATACATGTTTTAATTTACCTCAACAACCTTAAGTTAGCTTTTATTTACTAAAGATTAATCCTAGGTCATGTGAACCTGAAAAGCATTTGAGTTAGTTTCTGTTGTATTTCTGAGATTTAAGAATACTTAATTTATAAGCACTTAATTTCAAGCCAATTAAATAGAGCCCTTTACACATCAATTCTAGCAATACCATCCAGAGATAGAAAACTACTGCATCTCTATAACATGCATACATAGACATACATAACATACAGAGAGGCACACAGAGATCTCATAGCTTTCATTTTAAAACTTTTACCATTCCTCAGGTATGAAACTTAAAAGAATAGTTGGATCCAAATTGTATTTCTGGCAGATGGACTAAGGTAGGATTACCTAAGTCTTTTACTAAAGATTTTTATTTGCAT